TAGAAAGGCATGCGTTCTGTCTCTCCAACAGTTATGATTAAGAGAATCCAGCTTTTGGGGATTTTCGGTCCAAAGTACAAAAATCTATTAAAATCTGAGTTACTGATTTTCAATAATCTAGAATTTGGGGGGTTAAGATGACTGAAATTGAGAACAATTTTGAGAAATCCCATCCTAGTCGTACTGGTATCTTGCTCAAGAACTACATCAAGCACAGCATGGAATAAAAGAGTAAGTTTTAAAGAGATGAGCCACAAGCCCCCGCTTACCCATAGCCGTACTGTCCTGTTGGATGTGTGGCTGCCACAGTCGCATACCCCGTCTCATAGCCAGAGGCTGCCTGAGTTTGCCTAGGGGTAGCCGTGGAGGCATAGGTAGTCTGGTGGGCTGCTACAGGAGTTGCCGCCTGGTAGACGTGGCCCGTTTGAGGTTGGGCTGTATGCTGAGCATAGCCGCTCTGTTGGGGTTGGCTAGAGAGAAATACACAAGAATTTAGGCAATGGCAACCTGTGCCTAATGTTCCCAATCAACAACCAGTCCATTTAAATTGAATATGGTATGCTACACACATAAATAGTTCTAATTTCCTTCACACAGTTATTTTTTAGAATTCAAATGTGACAGCAACCAACATAAATGAGTGTACTCAACAGCAAACTGAAAATACCATCTGCTGAACCGTGGAGCTATTATACACAAGTGTTTGATATGGGTACTTTCAAAAAACAAATACATGCACATGCACCGAAACAACCAGGAACGTTGCATGACACGTGCAAAGTGTAAAAAATGAAAACACAATGAGTTTAAGTCTAACCATAGAGGGGTACATCAGTTCAAGTGACGTGTTTGTGAACAATGAGGTAGCATCAACGATCGATCATGTCCGATTGCAGTGTTTATATCAAGTTACAGTGCGTCCAGATCACAAACTCAGCTGCACGCACAAAATGTCATGTATCCATCTTTTAGTGCAGCACAGTGTATAAAGGCAATGGGCGAAAAGCAAAGCCGCGATATGCACAGGGATTTTTTGTCAAGCACAGCTCGAGGGTACCCTATACAGTGCCAGCGGTAATAGACAATGGAAATCGGAAGCATAGTTTTGGCCTTTGCAAGTCGGATTCTCCAACCGTTATTTGGTCACTAAAACATCAACGTTGTTGCATTAAGGCCTCGGCCTCTGTTACCAGGTTACTAAAGAACAGAATGAACGATAATCGGTGGGGTGAAATGGCAATGGGCTAAGTGTAAGTGGAAATGAGGCGAACTGGAAATGGGACGAAGTGACCGACACCCGGTCCGACCATGGATCAGACGTCGGATATATATGGGGCGTCAGCAATATGAGGCCGAAAACAAAAATGCCCATAAATTCGACGCCTAATTAGTCAGACCCTCGTAAGTCCGAAACTTTGGACTTTTGAGGCGTCGGACTTGCGACTAGGCCTATATCAGGCGTTGAATTTACGACACGCACCACCGCTGACTGTTTCCGTGAATCACAGAAACATGGAAAACTGGAGCTAAAACAGCAAAATCGAGCATTGTTAAAAAGGCAAAATAACTGTTACTAAAATGAAACTGATCCTCAGGTATCAATGTCTTTGTAAAGTGCCTTCATGATTGCATTAAACTTACGTGTACTGTGTGCCGCCATGAGTAAAACCGAAGTAGTTTTGGGAAGCCATGTTGAATTACACACTTGACGCGAAAGAAAATGGCGACAGTACACGCGCACGCACGACGACCACGTGTCATTTGCATACGGAAATAGCCGAATGATTCCGGGAATGTGATTCCGATTCTGCGGACGACTCGACAAGGCACAACATTAAGTCCGTAAGTCACCATACTTCAAGTCGCACACTTAATACTTTGACCAGATTTGTTCTTAAATATACCAATTTTTTACAGATTTATTTTCATTAGATCAAAGTTTGACTAAAATCCTACAATGAATAATATAAAGAACAATACGTGTATTATAAAGATCATCGGATGTCACCGAAGCGACAGGACAAAGTGTCATCTGCAAACAGTGGGATCGGCTTCAGAAAACTACGTCACCATAATTCGCGAACGTACGTTGCAAACGTCATTTTATGGGGGGTATTGGTATAAAATAATGCCTTCTTCTGAAAAATCTGCCAGTTAACGTGTGTTGAATTTTGCATAAATTATTTTGGTTTAGTGATGCAGTTTGAAGGGGAAAAACACTTTTATTCGCAATAGCTTGACTTCCCATAACTTCCTCTTTTTCATTCTCCTAGATTTTTTTTCATTTTAATTTGAAGTTGAATTTGAATAAATTAAATTTTCATAATTAGCTTTAATATAAGTTCTTTGTCCGGACAAAACTTCTCTTTCTACGTGTATTTCTGAAACAAGTCACAAAATACAGTGCCACCGAATCCGCGGCCATCGTCGCCAACGGGAACCTCAAAATAAGTTGAGCAGTACTTTTTCAGGATCCGTATTTTTATAACGACCTCAACATTTGGCGAGTGTTGATCGAAGTCGTCATTAATAGTGCCTGTATCGGATGTCCAGCATCGATCGTGAACGAACAGCGATCATTTAGCCATTTTCTAGACAATTTTTTGTATTTAGTCTGTAAAGTAAAGCTTTATGTTCTGTTGACATTTTCCCCAATTCTCCCAGGAAAAGCTTTTAATTCGCACTTAGCTGCAAAAAGAGAAACGTCGAAGTGACGATCAAACCGTCGACAGCAAATTAACGTCAGTGCATAATTTCGTTGAAGAATTCCACGACGAGAAAGATGGATGCGCGAAAATTGGTATGCACCAATTTAGGGCACTCCACCATACATGTACAGGTAGGCCGCAAAGTGAAACATTTCGGTCCAGAGGTGGTGTAACTAAGGACAAGGTGTGTGAATAGTAGCAATTTCAACGAGGTCCCGTAGGAAGATTTGTGTAATATTTGAATATTAATAATTTGAAAAATGGCTGTAATAGGCCTTACTAGCACTAGACTAGGGGCATCATAGTACGCAAACATGAGGCGAACTCTAGTAGCTCCCCGAATAAGAAAAACGCAGAAACGTTAGATTTGCGTTTACTATCAAAAAAATCGGGATAGTCATAATTTTATCTGATTCAGGCCCCTGATAGAGCTGGTCTTCAAGAAACTGAATATTACTGAATGAAAGCTTATTAGCCCGAGCCTGAAGCCCCGCGGCTGAGACTCTACACCCCCGGCCCCGGGGCCCCCCGTCGATACACATAACCTCAGTGTCAGCGTTGATGTGCAGGTGGCGCCAAAAGTGGACATCACGTTTTCTTTCAGAATAACCAAAGGGCATATTAAACATTTTTACAGTTCCACTTTTCAATTTTTTCTTTTTGTTTAGTTCAGTTTCTTTTCATCAATAAGGAAAGCTGACTGGATGTATTAGCTTCTGCTTTTCCGCCTGAAATTTCACTGGACGGACGAAAAGTGGACATTAACTGCGCTTTTTTACCGAGAACTCATAAAAGCAGATCGAAGGTTTTCGAGTTTCTATTTCCAAGTTTCGGCAGAGATTCATTGCCCTCGGGAAGTTATGCTCTATTGATAGTCGAAAAGCTTGCATAACTTAAAAAGTTTCCTTAAAAAATAACGTTTCTTGTACCTTTCTGCTTCTCTGAAATGGGAAAACATCTAGATGACCACTTTTCGGTTGCCTGAGTATATAGTAATGATCGTTTTTTCAGTGAAAAGCAGAAGAGTATAATAAGCCTACACGTTTCATTTCTATCTGCCATTTCGGTGATAGAAAAACGTACACTGCAAATTCAGCTAAAACGTCAGCCCGCTTTTCTTGCAAAGACAGAAAGAAGCTGACAAATGGAAGTTTCGGAATTTTTGTCAGACGGCTGCAGGATGTGCATACCCGTAAAAACCACAGCGAGAGAGTGTGCTGAAACTCCAACAGATGCTCACAATGAAATCTAGGAAAAGAATTTACAATATATATATATATATATATACACATATAATCATCCTCCTACTTTTCAAGTCACTGGCGTTGTGTGCACCCGCAGCCACCCCTGAATGAAGTGGGACCTTGTACCCTGTGCCGTTTCACGCTCAGCATATGGATGACTCTTCAAAAAATCCCCCCCCCCTCACATGTGATGGAAATCTCCGCCCGTAGTTGACACAGAAACAAGTTGATTCCATTCATTTGTGCCTGAGCAAAGTTGCAAATCATTTTTACAATGCAATGTAAGCATGGTCTAAAACCTTCTGAAAAAAAGTCAGATTTTTGTGTCATACAAAAAAATTTAATGTTCACAGTGTGGTACATGTACATGTATTTTCAAAATTTTATATCATTGTGTTAATTCAAGGTGTTTTCGCTGGTACTCTTCCTCTTGAAGGCTGCGTCCACTGTGGCTACGTCGCGTCCGAGGTAGGTACTAGGTGGGGATGGGAAATTCACATAATGAAGCAACGTGAGGAGAGAACAAGGGGGGGGGTATTAGATAACAATAGTCTAGAGTGTGTATAGCGATTGGACATGTTGGGGGTACCCCTCGGTCTCATTTCTTGCTGGATATAGAAATTCATGCTGACATAGACGTAGCCTTAGTTGTACATGTGTACACGGGAAAAACGAAACTGGCTGCGCCAGCAATAAATTACAGTGTTCGTAATCCGCCGCGGGTAAACGTACACGCATACGTATAAATGTACATTAATAGGTCACGTCTATGGCGGAGTATATGTACATGTACGCAGGGCCCTGATTACGGGTCGTTGTAGGCCGTACTATTGGTAAGTCTTGGAAGCTAACCTCATCACCCCGATACTTCACTTATATTACAATGTCTGAAATGTCTGAGAAAGGCTGAAAAGATGAAACACAAACAGATTTGAACAAAATTGTGGACTCATCGATAGCCCTATATCAAACCGGAAGTCTTGGACCGTGAGTGATCAGCTGAGCTGACATGGCTGATCACATGGATCAGGTGATTAGGTACTGATGATTGATCCACAGAGGTAGAAATTAAACAGGAAGCAGGGTCTTTGTTTTATGCCAACTTTTTGTCCACCGCTCCATCTTTGTCCAGTTCATTGCCAAAATTGGGCATAGGCCTATGCCCGATTCAGTTGGGAAAGAGTTCATGTACCGACGCCACTTCACACCCTGTACACAAATCCTGTGGGACAGGTGTTTTCTAAGTAGGCATAACGACTTGGTTTTCGCGGGACATGTTTTGCTTTCCGACGTGACGGCTGATAATTATAAGTCACTGTCAGGAATAATTACTAGCATCCGTAGAACTCTTCCCTTGGCATGCTTGGGTTAAATCCAGGAGTGAAAAAGTTCCTGTTGTGCTTGCACAGATGCCACTTGACACCCTGTCCTGTCTGTGCACAAAGCAGGTAGTAGGCCTAGTAATAGTATGAGACCGGCCCAGGCGTAAGTAAACAACTTTTCCCTCCTACATTGAACTTTTCTCTACATATATTTGCTTTTTGATAGCTCATGGGGCACAATGTAGAGAAAGTTTCTGGCGTCTGTATATGGAACTCTTCCCTCTAGGAGAATTGTTACCTGGTTTAAATGATTTTTACATCAAGAAATGTTAACATGTTTTTGTTGTGGTTGTCATGCCATGGGGCTCCATGGTTAGGGCACGAAAGAATAATTTCACGGAAAGAGTTTATATGGTTGCCGCTTGATACTTTGTGTACATGTATGCATAAACCCGATCATGCCAATGAGACTGGTCAGAAAATTTTAAGTGTTTTCTAAGTAACCACTTAGTTTTTTCCTTCCTAAATTGAACTTTTCTGGACATGTTTTGCTTTCTGACGGCTAGTAAGTTACTGCAGGGAATAATTACTGGCGTCCATATACTGTATGGAACTCTTCCCAATTTATCCATGGTTGGGGCATGTGTTGTTTATCCCATGGTTGGGATGACCATATTTTCCTTCTTCCATGGGGTGACTAACTTAAGTTCCTTAGACGTTGGGGTCGTGAGAAATGTTGGGATGTAACAATTAGCATCATCATGGTCATATCGCATAAATGAAATAATTAATGATATCTTAGAATTGTTTTTTTAATTAAAAATCTTTACCATGAGGCCTGAGGCTTGATTGGAAAATGTTACCAAAATGTGATCCATGTAGACAGGAGCAGAGTAAGCTGTAACAGCATGGAGACATTTGGTCATAAAGAGATCATGTTCGTGCTGTGATGTGGATTGGTTGTGAAATGACTAAATTAACATATTGGGACTGAGTCATTCTTAGAATGCAATAAAGACCTGTCATATCACATGATATGTATAAGAACTGGGAAGCCAACCAGTCTGTTATTCAACTACAAAGGTTGGTCATATGTATGCTGTGATTCTCAAGTGTAACGAGGGCGGCTCCTGTTACTCATCAATGACTCATATTCTGAGATACTGCCTTTTTGCTTGTTACATGTAGCTGTACATGTGAAGTACATGTATCCAACATAGGGCCTCATCATGGATGATGACGATAAACTCATTGAACTGGATAAATACCGGGGAGCTCATGAAAACAGCACTGGTAAGAAGGTCAACCGATATAGTTTTAGTGTTACTGATGTGACTGCTGCATGCTTTATTACCACCCTTTTCAACATCATCATCAATTTCAGTTCTGCCATTGCTTTCACCGTCATAGATCTGCACTGTCATCTCTGGAAATCCTAGAACCCGAGTCTGTGTGTCACAGTCTTTGTCATTGTAGCAGTGATTGCATTACACTCTCAGAAGTAACCCCCTCTGTTGTTTTACATTTCTCTTGCATGTATTGTAGTCCCGATTGTGGCCTTTGTTTCTCCCTGTGTGCATTTAAGTACCCCATCACAAGCCAAGGAATGACGGGCTAATGGGGAAAATGTCAGATTGGTACACGGGGCACACGTGAAGACTACACTTCAGCAGTAATTGATTGTTACCCTACATGTGTACATGTTTTATGTACACTGTGCTTTACAACCGGAGGAATGTTGTTCCTAAGTAAAACATATGCCATCTTGTTTCGTACCTGGAGTGGCTTCTACCAGCCCCGCTGCTGCTGATGCCCACTGCTGCCGCTGCAGCGATTGCTGTCCCAACTGATGCCACTACAGCATGTTGATTAATAGCACCCTTTGTTTGAAACTGTAGTGCATTCATGTTCTGTAGTGACATACGTTGCATGCTGTATTTTCATTATACATGTACATGGTTCCATCGACAGATACCGGTATGTGCTTAAAAATTGAGGGTTGGTTAATTTTGGAGCAATGTTGAAAGCAAAAGCAAAGTGGTGGGGTAAATTGTTATGAAAATGATACTGGTACTGGAATTCATTACCAAGGCTTGTCATTACAGTGCTACTTAACTATTACACTTGCACAACTTGCACAGCTGCCAACCACTTACATACATGTACATGCAAGCTAAATACCTCCTTCACACCACAGAATTTGGGAAAAATGTGGACAAATTCCAGTTGATTGGCTCTTGTGGAAGTCTCTGGTGAGGCTCCACTGTGCAGCAGTCGCATTGTTTGCTATGCTTTAGCTCAGAGAGAAAATGCAAAGGAAGATGGCTAAATTTAGGAAAGTGGAATTGGACTACAAATACGGTACCACATGCCAGTTCTTTGGAGTTCAGTTTATACTTCTGATCTGATCAAAACTAGCACGTCTTCACCCAAATACACCTTTGCTTTTGCACAATCATGATTCCCCCTTTCCTCTACATGTATACACTAACATGTCGTTCATTATCAGCCATTTTCACTCACAGTTGCTTCCTGACTTCTTTATTTCTTGCAGATATCAATATATTTGGATGCAAAACACTTACCCATGCTTTCTGCGTCCCATGCCAACAAAGTAACTACATGTAGTAGCTGACCACATTGCTAACAGTTAGTTTTTGCCGTGGATACTTGAAAACAGAGGTGTCAGCCTCAATTTAACTTTGCTTTAATGACACTCACCTCCACCATCCGCCATTATGTTGCGAGTCCAGGAGAACTTTGAACCTAACATTAATGTTCGCACTTCCCTGTTGGTGACAGAGAATGCGTCAGCATCCACGCCTTCCACTTCCCAAGTCGTCGTCGACACAGAGGGGAATGGGTCCATCTCTCTGGAAGTGCCTCAGATTGACCACAGTGACATCAAGAAGCGAACGAGCAGCACTGTGGATCCAGACAAAGTGGACATTGCCAAGCCCATACGAATCTTGAAGAGGCCTCGTGAGATCAAACTCAAGATCACTGTTGTCTTGCTTTTCTGCCTCATCATTGCATCCACCACTTGCATCCTGGTTTTCTACGTGGAAGAGCCGTTGCATTACAAAGTCGGAGATGCCGTCTTCTATGCAGTCTCCCGGGAGTTTGACGTGCACTTTAATGGGGCCAACATCACCAGGGGCCTCATTGGAAGGAATCTGCCAGACATGTTGCCATCATCTTGTGACCCTTTTGACTCAAGGAACTTATGTTTGGAATACACAGACATTGCAAAACTGTTGATTCACTGGGAGCAACTGTCGGGGGTGGACTGCTACAACTTGACCTGGGAGGCATTTTCTCACGACCTGGTCCATCGAGACTGCTACAGCTTTGAAAATATCCACTGGTATGGAGGGAGTGTGTCAGCCAATCAGCAGTGGCCATTGGAGAAGATGAACCTATCACGTGCGCCATTTGTGTCAGGCCACAAAGCCAGCAGTTTTGGACCAGTTGTGGAGCGTTTCTGGATTGCCTCACATGGGGTTGGGATAATGGTTAATGATGAGTCACCACTGTTTGTCAGCATCAATGAAGATGGTCAGAAATTGTGTTTTGAAAGCACATATCACGACTCACCCTTTCCTAACCCCAACGAGGAGCTTCCCAAACTTCAGTACACCTTGTGTGCTGCTGTTGACATGCCATCAGTCCACCAAAAGATGACCAACAAGTTCAGTAAGAAGCCTCACGCTTTGCCCCACCAGGCTTTGTCAAAGAGCCCCATGTGGTCTGTGCCTGCATGCTACAGGGAGAATGCTTTTAACGAGACAATGCTTCTAGAGTTTGCTACTGCTATTTACAACAGCAGTTTGGGGGCAAAGTCTTTAGAGATCCCTTGTGATTATATGACCAGCGAAGGTGATCTAGCATTCGATGCAATGAGATTCCCTAGTATAGCAACTACTCTGGCACAGATCCAGGAGTTTGGCTTGGACGTAGGTGCTAGAGTTACACTGTTCATGAGCACCAACTCCGAGGCCTTTCTAGAAGGTCTCCAGCATCAATATTTAGTTGAGGACCCCAGATCACAAGTCCCTGGACTCACTAAATGGAAAGAGGGCGTGGCGGGACTTCTAGATGTCACCAGCACTAATGCCACCGCTTGGTTCCGGAGTCGACTGAAGAGTCTTCAGAGTATGTCTGGGGTTGGTTTCTTTACATTTGACTACGGTCAAGTGAGCTACCTTCCAGTTGAATTCCAAACGGTGGAAGATCTTCGGAACCCGTGTACTTTCACAGAGCGATACGTTGAACTTGCAAATGAGACTAACAGCCCTGTCATCGTGCGTTCTGCTTTCCAGTCCCAAGACATTCCGGTCATAATGCAAACCATTCCAAAGACGTCAGTATGGGGTTATGAAAATGGGTTGAAATCTGTCATTCCAACAGCATTAACACTGAGCATTCTCGGGTATCCATTCATTATGCCGGATCTTGAGGTAAGGGGGCTGCATTATGACCCATCGTGTTCCAGAGAGTGTCTCCCTAGTAAAGAGTTCCTACTCCGATGGCTTGGCATTATTTCGTTCCTCCCTGCCATGAAAATTAATATCCCCATCTGGGAGTATGACCAGGAGACTGTCAGCACCACAGACAAGTTCATTAAGTTCCACCAGGAGACCATCGCTCCTTTGGTGCTTCAGGTTGCCATGGAAGCTGGCAACACAACAGCTGCAGTTATTCGGCCGCTGTGGTGGATAGCATCCACGGACCCTGTTGCCCAAAGCATAGACTCAGAGTTCTTGATAGGTAACGACATGCTAGTAGCACCTGTGTTAGACCCTGGTCTCCTGAAGCGGCAGGTCTATTTGCCAGAAGGCAAGTGGGCAGATCAGCTTCATGGGACAACGCTTGACGGTGGTGCATGGGTAGAGGTTGATGCCTTACTAGATCAGGTGCCCTATTTTACCAGGGCCTGAAGCAGAATATGATCAAGCCCTGAGTCCATTGTTTTCTGCAAGGCAAGTCGCTGACTTACAATGTATAAGTTCTGTTTAGTTAATGGTTAGATTTGTGTAAAAAAATGAAGAGATTTTTGAGAATATTGCCTTGTGGGCTAATATTAATGGATATTTGAGAAAAGATGGCTCACTAATGCTTGAGTCATGATTTAAGTCATTGCATTAGTTAGTGGCTCATCAACCACTGAATTCTCATATTTCAAATGAATTTTGAAATGAATGATTTGACAGTGACTTGCCGAGTCCATTTAGAAACCCATCTCAATATATAGAAATGGTGCATGGATTTGTATAAAGAACATGGCCAATTTAATCTTAGGGTGCGTTTGATTAGCGTCCAAGAGTTGAATTTGCTTGAATTTTGTCCTCATTGTCTTGCTTGTTTGAGACAGTACACATGACCATCCCAGGTCAGGATTGCCCTGTGTAAGCTAATTGAATATGCCCATGATGGGATACTTAATATGGAAAATATGCACTGCCAGTAGACGTACATGTACATACCAGCACAGCCAAGACCATCACAAAACCCTGCAAGTCCATAACAAGTCATCCAGTATGAAGCTAAGTCACAAGCTACATCTACATGTCTTCAGTTGAACTGTGACAATTGTCATTGTACACCTTATTCGTATACTGGTAACTTGTCTTGTGAAAGGATTTGTGACTGGACTTTTAAACAGGCTTGTGATGGACCCAGCTACAACACACGATGGAGTACATGTACTGGTGTTTAAATAGTAGTTGGAATGTCTGTTATCTTTTACTCAGTCTACTTTTTTGCTTTTTGTCCTTGGTTTTGTTAACTTTTGTTCGTGGTTGGGGGAGGTGGATGTGCAGGCCAATTCAGTAAAAATCACCAGAAAGGTGATTCAGGCTAGGATAAGCTTAACATGCCACTCTCCTTAACCAACATGAAAGGCCACATGTGTATGTTACTGAACTTATTGAAGCAATGTGAAATTCTATGTCAGGAGTTACTGTGGCATTCTGTAGTGGCCACTGAGGGATTTCAGAGCTAGATACCAAAATTTTGTGAGAAACCATGTTCAGATTCTGGTAGAATCTGTGGCTGCCATTCTATATTAAGTTGAAATAAATTCATGCTGTTTGCACATGCAACAATAGTATTTCAAAACATGGCACTGGACGCTTCCACAAGTACCCTATTGAGACCTGTGTACTGAGTCTTAAGTTCTTGCTGGAGTCCATGTCAAATACAGACCGATTCAGTTACTCACATTATACATGTAGAAGCCATTACTTTAGTGGCCCTATTCCTTGAATACCGGTACATGTTAACCCTAACAGTCCCAAATCCTCCGATTTCAGTATGATTTTACATACACCCTAGGGAATTAGGGTTCTGTTTCGAACCAAATATTAAAGAGTTGCCAAAAGTTGGTGAAATATTTGGTGTGCACAAGATGTACAGTGAAACATGCTACCAGACACCTGTTCGAGTATTTGAGACTTGTGTGCCCAGTCTTTTGTTCTGTCTGGGAAGCCATATATACATTGATGCAATGACTGGCATGAAACACCATTACTTTGATGGTCCCACGCCTTGAAAGCAAGTACACGTACCTCTTGACCAGGTGGGTATTGTAACTTGCCAATTGTGCCAACGCCACAGGTTTGAGGACCATGGCATACATGCGCGATCTTGGTGCCACTCCAGAAATGGTGTCTCCTGAGATTAAGGCTAGTCATGTGTGGGGTAACGAATGACAGCTACATATTTGCAAGTGTAGAAATTTCTTTCTACAGTATTCAACGTACATTGAATACTTTGCTTTAAATACTTCATGTCGTACGTTGTGAAGTTGTACAGTAAGAAAGGGTAGCGCTTCCAATACTGTTGTCAACCATAACGCTGCTGTGACATGTGTACATGTACTATGATAGGTGAATTACTGTGTTCGTTTGTCAACAATATCTTGAAGTTGTTGTTTCAAACCAGTGAACTGTTGATGTGCAAACCAAATTTCTATTGATACAATATATGTATGTATATTTTTTAAAAAATCAATTTTATGAATATTCTATTCCATTCATTAGTTCAGAATAAGCGTATTGGATGTTACTGTACTCGTAGCCCTCTTGAACCAAGATGTTTGTTTACCTTGTTTACATATGCCATGTTCATATACATGTATGTAAACAGCTGTTTACAATGTACATAGAAGTTCTCACTGTTCTGTTTCAAAATGGTTGCAAGTGATGAACAGTGTTGGCTCTAGGGTTGAGCTTTGGAATTAAATGCAAGATTTCTCTGTTACCTTGGTGATGAAATCACAGACTACGAGTACGGTACCTGGTTGAGCTTGCGACCTATAGACGAATAACGTAATGACGTCATGCCTCATTTGCATGCTCGCTTCCCTATGGCAGTGAGGTGTGATGTGATCCATCGAGCCCCCGTAGGAAAGTGCACTGGACAAAGTGTGATGTCATTATGTTGTACATGCAGGTCCTTTGCATTATGATGGATGTGCTAAAAAGGATAAATGTGTTAATCTAGTAACAGGTGCATACTTTGTTGTGAATATTGTGGATAAATTGCTTTGACTTAACACCTGTAGCATACATGTAACACCAGTGTGTGTGCTAATTAATCTTTTGTACAAAGCACTTTCAAGTGTTCTACATGTATCTAGAAACTGTCCAGAAGAAGAATGTACAGAAATGATAATATTTGTTTTTATGCAAGAAATCGTGTCACAATTTTAAAAACTATCAGCATTTAGGGTATCTTACATTTGTTTTCTAAATTTTCCACGTCTGTATTTGAAATTTCAATCCACCGCTTAATTGTAAAAGGAAACTTTAAAGTCAGCATAGAATAATTAATTGAATTGTTTTCCCACTGTTCTAAATTGTTACTGACCCACTGCTGGTATAGTGAGAAGCCGTTTCAGGTTTCGTCCCAAAGAAACTTGAACACAAGAATGGTATGCTTGAAATAAATACAGAAACAATAAAGAAAAAAAATACAGAAAGTGCTTGTCTTTTCAAATTGTCATCCCAGGCGTACAGCTTCCTTCGGATCAGTTTCCCCGTTTTCCCTTGTTTCCCCCTTCTCATATATGACCTGTTACAACAAAATAAGAATAAAGTTGCACTCTGCTGTTACCCAGTTACAATGGAGTAATAAACATCAAAGGGATGGTCTATTTGTGTGTGGGGGGTGTAATCTTTGGAACTTGTGAAACTTGTTTCATCTAATTCAAAAACGTTTTAGTGCAACCTGAAATTTAAGAAAGTAAATTTGAACTGGTCTTTTTGTGTCTGGTCAGAAATGTTGAAAATATGTCAGACAATGAAGTAAAGTCTCACTCTCTCTAGCTTTGTTGCTGAAGGGGTTTACTTCTATCCAGCGTGCTATGTACTGATGGAAAGCTTCCTGCAGAATTAGAAAATACCGAAATTTCATGTTTCCAATGTGTTGGCTTTGAGCAGGTCACATAACATTACATTTATATCATTAGCAACACCACAGTGTGGCCAGGTTATCAGGCGTAGAGGTCACTCTTCATCAGATGCCACTATCAGAGATGGATTTGTGCCAGGTTGCTTGCTTGTACCTGTAATATGACTTGAAGTCGTGGGCCATACAGACAGACTACCTTCAGAGAGCCTCGTGCGTCATTTTGTGTACAATATTTTGGGGTTTGGCGAAATCCAAGTACAAATACACAGGATTCACTCTCTTTTGCGAAGTCCTCAACTTTATGTTGCACTGTGGCAGGAAGCAACATTCACTTGCGGTTAAATTTTAAAAAAGCTCTCACAATATAGTAAAATATGCCTGTGTTGCAAGTGTGTTTTTTAACATTCCAAATGCGTGTATGTTGATAACTAGATGTATGCATGGGATCACGTGGTAGTCTAAATGTAATAGAGTTAAACAGCGCATGTCAAAAATGAATCGCAATCCGAAGTCATTCGGACGTGCGGTATCCAGCAGAGGCGGGGAAAACAGACACCCGCCCACCAAAAGTGGCAACACTTTAACCCGGCACCTTCTTTTGGGGTGAAAGAGACGAGTTCTTTAACGGAAAAATTGGAGAGTCATTTCAGACAAAAAAATTATCCTCCCCGGCGCCAAAACCCGGATACCCACTGCTTGGTAAAGATGAAGTTCCAAGGGCCATACACATGTACTTGATTCTTTGATCAATGAATGAACGTGACAGGTTTTTTGCCGATTTGAGATGGAAAAGCATGGTCACGACACCGTCAAAATTAGTATTTTGGGATGCCAAGTGTCGTAGAGCTATACAATGAAGTGAAATGTGATTAATAAATGGACCCTCGTCGTTATAGTTGCAGTGACAGATTATAAATGCCGACGAGGCATTTGTATGCTTATAGTCGTGTTTTCATTGACTCTAACAGTCGAAATGTACCGTACACTTCATGTAAAAACTTTGCTCAGTGTTTCCTCAAACATGTAACTTGTGTTTGTGATCCTTTCTTTAGATTCGCAGAACATGACCCCTTATACACCGTAAGCATCCAAATTTGGGTCTTTGTGATGGAATCAGCCTTATCAATGTGACCTTATGCAGTAATAAATCAAGAGGAGTGCACCCATGCCCCCATTTTGGTTATTAATATTTATCCAGCTACTCCGTAACCTCCAGACTGGTTATTTAATAACTTTAATGGCACAAACTTATCTTGAAAACGTGCCCTGCTTTACAGATGGGGTTAAACTCCAGTGCCCTCCGCCCTTTTGTAAATACCCCCCATAAGTACTGGATCCACCACTGTTACTTAGTGACAGAGTTAGCATCTTTCAGTACGGGTGGTCGGGCCTTGTGTCAGTGTTGGATTTCAGGACAGGGTTCAATTGGTCGTCCATTTCAGCCCCCCCCCCGCACTGGAGATGGCAAACTTGGAAAAAAATGAGTACAATTAACTCTCAAGACCAACATCAAACTTTAAGTTCATTTTAAGTTTGACAAATGAAACGAAGAGACGCAAATGTTTCTTAATACACGGTGGCTTTAATGTCCCAGTGATAATTCCAGCCTTTTGTCTGTCCAAGGCTAGGGCATTGACTCGGGATACTGCTCGTAGGCGGAAACGATGGCAAAGGTGATGGCGAAAAGTCGTGGTTTGGACAACTCAAGTTGGCAATTTTTTTACCGATTTCCTGTTTTTGGTGTACCACCTTTGGTACGAAAATGAACATCGGTTCAATGAAAAAATTGGTGGAGGGGGGGGGGGCTAGATATACCCCCTTGACATGTTGCCATTTTTTTAAACAACTGAATTCACTTATACTTTCAAAACGATCCCACGGGTACCACCTTCAGGGGTGGGAGAGAGGGCTTTTTAAGGATTAAAAAATTGTTATTTAGGGGGAAGAAAACTCACTTTGCCCTCTTCCCCCAACCTGGGTATGAACGCTACTGATATACTCGTCAACAAGCGGTACATATACATGTATGTCATACTGATAACCACGCGAGGAGAACAATTGCCAGAGACCTTGAATTCATTCTTAACGCGTCCATCTTCAAAGCAAATAACAGTTACCTAACCCGGATTTCTGATTCAAAAAAGAAATTGAGCTCTCACAGTAACCGCACTGTGTATTGGTCGAACCATAAAGCAAGTCAACCAACAAATCACGCATCACTTTAATGGTCATTGTGCACGTCCATCTTGTGATAAGGGTGAATGGCGGTACGTGTGGATCCTTTTACAATAGGCATCATGAAAGTGTGGGCTGTGCCCATTGTCGAGGCACCGTGATGCATTGTAAATAAATAGTATTTGTATCTTCACTGCGGCTGTCAAAAACTTAACCTGGATTTCTCGACTTTGATTCCATATCAGACACGAGACAAGCCAGCGTACCTGCACTGCACCTTTGCACGTTAGACATAAGTTGCTGTCACTAATGCAGGTTCTGCAGCCGGTGACAGGCGTTTTTTTAAGCTAGAATATATCTATTCGTCTTCTTTGTCGTCCCATTTTGTCCTCCGTGGTCATCTAGACGACTTTCAGTATGTTAAGCAAACGGAGGATTATAATCGCCGTCGTAACGGTGGTGTTGCTGTGCGCTGTGGCAGCTGGCGTCATTTGTGCTGTTGTATTCACCGTTGGCCGAGAAGACCCACCCGCAACAACTTCTCCCATCTCCCCGCCTGCCATACGGACTGTAGTCGACGTGGAGGCAGCGACCGGGAAAGTTGCCATCAAAAATCTAAAAGGAAACACTGTGTTGAGTGGCACTCTTGCGGCGAGCTCTCCTACCAACGTGAACGGTCTTGAATGCTTCGCCGAAGGGAATAGGCTCTGTTATGTCTGGAAAGACACAGCAGAGGTCAACATCGAATTAGTTGCCTCCGAAGAAAGGGAGGACTCCCCGTTCACTTGTGCGCACATTGTATGGGAGTCGATGGTTGCTGGAGTACCACTGCGGGACTGCTATTCTCTGAATGGGGCTCACTGGTACGGGAGCGCCGAGATGTTCTACCAGCTGTGGCCGATCGAAAAATGGAACGAAACCACCACCATGTATGTGTCTGGGGACATGTACGCAAATTGGCAGGATTACGGATCAGTTCTGGACAGGTATTGGTTGTCATCTCGAGGTGTTGCCATTCGGGCCAGTCATGACACTCCTTTGCACGTTAGCCTGAATAACGATGACGACAGCATGGTGTGCTTTCAGAGCACCTATGCAAACTCCTACTACCCTAACCCCGAAAATAACTTGCAACGGCTGGACTACACAGTCTGTACGCATGACGACGTACGCCAGGTGCACGATGCGGTTTGGCGCGAAATGGGCCCAAGTGGTGGGAAACCTGAAGGTTTACCAGATGAAAGAATGATCAAGTCTCCTATCTGGTCAACGTGGGCGAGATACAAAATCTTCATCAATGACAGTGTGGTGAATGCATACGCAGATGAGATCACGTCAAATGGGTTCAACAACAGTCAAATAGAAATAGACGATGGGTACTCCTTTAAATACGGAGAATTTGATTTCGATCTGACTAAGTTTCCCAACATGAGAGATACAGTTCAAAAACTTCATGACAAGGGGTTCCGCGTAACTCTCTGGGTGACCCCGTTTGCTAATACTGACACCGACGCGTATCAGGAAGGTAAAGAGAAAGGTTACTGGGTAACAAAAAGGGGGCAGGATGAGGGCGTGGTCAAGTGGTGGAATGGCTTGGCCGGGATGCTCGATGTCACCAACCCAGAAGCCGTGGAATGGTTCGTTGGCAGACTAGAAAAACTTAAACAGGACACTGGGATCGATTCTTTCAAGTTTGATGCTGGAGAAACTAACTACCTTGTCGAAGATTTCCAGACATACTCACCATTAGTGAATCCTTCTGAGTATACAAATCTGCACTCCAAGATGGCCGCACGCCTCGGAAGTCAAATCGAGGTCAGAGCGGCCTTTGAGAATCAAAATCTTCCTATCTTTGTCAGGATGATGGACAAGGATTCTCGCTGGGGCTGGGATAACGGACTGAAGACCCTCATAACCACGGCGCTAACATTCAGCGTGCTGGGCTATCCTTACATCCTCCCGGACATGATTGGTGGCAATTCCTACGAGACTGAATTCCACGGACTTGAAGTGCCGCCGCGGGAGCTCTACATACGCTGGCTGGAGATTACTGCTTTCATGCCGGCTATGCAGTTTTCCATTTCACCCTGGCAGTACGATGACGAAGTGGTGAGAATCTCCAGGAAGTGGGTGTCCTTTCATGAGAACTTCATCACGCCGAAATTGCTAGATATCGCCCGGTCTGAGACCATCGTGAAGCCCGGTCAGCCGCTGTTAAGACCCTTATGGTGGATCGCACCAACTGATGAAGTCTCTCTCAAGATAGACACCGAGTTTCTGGTTGGGGATGACCTGCTGGTAGCTCCCATCGTCAATAACGCTACATACTCCAGAGATATATACCTCCCTCCAGCCGATGGTCTTTGGAAATACATGCCACAAGGAAATACTTTGGAAGGTGGGCAGTGGCTGATCGATGTGCCGGTTCCTCTTGATGAGGCAGCTTACTTTATCCTCGAAAAATTCAGTTAACTGAAATATTGATGCTAAAATTAATATTTCAGAATCCATATTTACGTGGCCTATATTCTTGGATGCCCATTACTTAACATTAGTCCTGTGAATTGCCCAATTAAATTAACACAAAAGTACATGGATGTCTCTGAATGGTTTACAGTGAGCCTTATCCTGACACTGAGGGTGCCTTTATCTGCGGTATATTATCTGTACACAAGTAATAATTCGGGAGCAAGTCCAATCTAAGACCATAGTTAAACATAGTTCGACTAATTCTCATCAAATGCACGCTAGTCGACGCTGGTATACCAGCGTACCAAAGTTGGTCGTGTTGTTGGTTGCCATAGCCATTTTTAATAACACAGTGTAGAAAGAAAAAGTGGCGGAAAACAGAACATATAAGTTCGTCACCAGTAAAGGATAATTTTCACTTTTATTTGTTATAGTTTGCCCTTCCTATTGCCACCATTTTCCCCACGGGCCTAAAGGACTGGCAACGGTTAACTACAGTCATTTGCACTAAAACTGCGAATGCGCTCGGTGCGTCACGAACCAACCACAAGTTAACAGCTGGTCCTAGATTGAATTTGTTCCAATTAATTTTCAGAAATCGATTATGTCTGATTGGTTAAAAATAAGATCGCACCGACAAAATCAACAAAGAAGCACATAGCACTGACCTCTGGCAGTAAGACTTCTTGCAACTATGGATGATGAGGTTGCTCAGAAGCTGAATTGTTCCTGATCTTACGTCAATGATTTGCTTATACATATAGATACTTATAGTAGCATCATCAATATATTCCAAAAATCCCTGGAATTGTTGTTAGAAAGGACTTGCTCACTGCACGTTTCAGAGATTCAGTTCAACAGATTTAGTCGTGCACGCCCTTCAAAGTTGTTATTTACTTTTCAGTTCCACCCCCCTTCGTTGTCATTAAAACTTAAACCTTATTTATATTGGTCAGTGATGGCAAGCCATTCTGAAGGAAATCGATGAATATCTCAAACGTACTGCATACTGTGTATATATTGAATGGCATTAATTTTAATCTTGATTTTGAACATTGCAACTATATCTCGTACAACACAGCAGAAACATCAACACCATCATAGGTATAGTGGTGCTGCAGTGATAATCACCTAAAATTAATGTATAAGCCTTAACTAGAAAATAAAAAGATATAATTGCAAATTCCAGCGTTAATTGTTAAACGTGCATTAAAGATGATTGACTGTGTTTCACGGTTAATTGCAAATGCTGTTTCTATTTGTCAATTTATGTTTCCCCACTAACCTCAAACGTCTAGTCTCTATAGAATGTCCCGACTCTTATAAAGTTGTATTTATTTCCCCCTTGTGTACTGTTAGCAAGGAGTTCATATATAGCTGCACGAAACATGACCTTTCTCAATGATCATCGTATGATGTGCCAAAAATAGTGGACTCTTTGTGAAGATATAAAACGTTCTTCAAGCTAGGTTCATCACGATGAACGTACAGCGAAGTATTTTTGGTAGGTCACTATTTGTTTTTCCTTTCACGAACTCGGCAGTGCAAATTGACGCAGTAAAGCACTTAAGCACATGATCAAAGAATAAGAGAAAAGGATAAGATAATTAAACACAACTGTGAGATACATTGACATGGGCATAAATTCTGGGTTTATGGATACGGCGCATGCTTTATCAGTACAATCCTTGCCAAGTGACTAGCCGCGGATGAGACCTTGTAGTTATTTAGTCCCCTCCATTTTTAAATATGGTTACATGCATAACCACGACTGGGATAAAACAAAAAAAAATAGGCTCTCACTTGTTCAACCGAGCATTATCAGATTCGGGCTGCCTGCAATCTGAATATGTCGTTTAGGGCTTGGTCAGTTTCTTCTCCCGTCGAAAATACACAGGGCACACTGAAAACAGCCGCCGCAGCTCTGTATGGAAGCCTGACGGTTTCGGGCATGGCTTGAGAATCGGTTCACGGTATCTTCTCCGTCGGATCACGCTCTGCTTTCGTACCATGGTTCTACGCACTCTCAAATCTTGATAAAGAAAAATGCCCCTGGTTTTACGAATTGTCCAGAAAATCCCCTGTCAAAAAGTGGAGTAAAGTATTACAGATAAATCTTGATCATGAAGAAAAGTAGTTGCACTACCGTGAAACGTTAGTGAGGTTTGATAAAGTTTTCATTCAATTTACTCTTGATCATGGCTGAATTGGAAAGTTCAAGGTTACCTTATAATAGGCGTTAGTTATGTTTCCCAACACAAACAGAGGAGAGATGTCCAAATGGCTCAACCTGTCAAAAACCTGGTTTTTCTGGTCTATGCCTATAGTTTATGCATGTACATGACCCCAGCTGAGCTCCCGCCCGGTATTTACGTCCCCTTGTAGGCCCCCTATACGATGAAATGTATTGCCTGGGAAGCATCTACCTCCATGGTATACGTTACAACTTCATACTATACATGTACAGTACATGAAGGATACATGTACATGTACTTAAAGTTCTCGGTTACAAGCTTCGACCGAAGGTAAGTCGAAACAAATACATGTACAGGACTGCAAACATTTTAGTACGATGTGCTTGAGGAAAATAAATTGTCACCAGCCTTAAATATCCACAGTATCCTTCGCCCTTCCCGCCTTGTTGAAGAGAACAGCAGTTAAACGCACATTTCCGCGCTTGCACGTGGTATGCATTGAGATCGGGTGGTTGACCTTCGATCTAGTTTGAGTCATCATGTTGATTCAGATTACCGTACCACGGCCTCGGTGACCGAAGAACGCTGAGTTACACCGCAGCCCGGTAGTTCTACACGCCGTGCATAATTACATGTCTTCATAGCTTGCACCTCCTGACCCACTGGAGGTGAAGGTTCGTTACGGCGAAATATACGTTTCACACAGCGCAATATAGCACTGGACAGGGCTGTGTAGGACATTGGCACACGTTCATGTACATGAGCAGTACATGTATAGAGAGATTGTGTAGAGAGAGTTGCGGCGTAAGTGCCACCATTGTTTGGAACAAACTGGTAGGTGTAGTGGCCAATGCACACGGACAGTTGGTGTACCGTACTCACACGCTCTTCTGTACACTACGAACAGCCATTTTGTTTCCAAAACGTGAAACTGGCGCGCTCAATCAATTTTGTTCGCTGCAAATAAATGAGTGTTTACTAGACATATGCAACAGCCCGCAACGATATGCACTGGGCAGCCAACGAAAGATACATGTATGTCTGACAATATTTTTAAGTGGCCAAAGGAGCTTTAACCTAAGCCTATTGAACTGACTTCTGATGCTAAGCAGCAAGCGTAGGTTTTGTGTTTCATAAGCACGACATTTTTTGCTTGTAGAATGAGGAGTTTACAAGCACCCACAATCCGGATTGAGGCTGTGCTGTTACTGTGTGTGATAGCTGCTGGTACCATCTACGCTGAAATTAGACTCAACGTGGATAAGGGACACTCAAGCTCTACTGGCGACTTTTCCTCGCTCAACAAGCGCATTCCGGTTGATGTAGATTTTGCCACCGGGAAGATCTCCATCCAAAATGTCAGAGAAGACACAGTCTTGACTGGAGCCCTAGCTTCCAGCTCTCCTGGTAGTGTGAAAGGTCAGGAATGCTTCGGGAGAGGGAACACAATCTGCTATCATTGGAAAGGAATTGCAGAAGTTCGAATAGATTTGGTTGTCACCAGTCAAGAAAACGACTCGCCATTTTCATGTGTGCATGTAGGATGGGAGTCGTTTGTTGCAGACATCCCCCTACGAGACTGCTATTCTCTGGAAGGGGCTCACTGGTATGGAGCAGCCGAGAAGTATGAACAGGTATGGCCCATAGAAAAAGCCAGTGAATCAACCGCAATGTTTGCATCCACAGACATTTACGAAAATCTGAAAGGCTACGGATCAGTTCTGGACAGGTACTGGTTGTCATCCCGAGGGGTTGCTATTCGAGTGAGCCACGATGCTCCTTTGCATGTCAGTCTGAATGAAAACAGCGACGGTATGTTGTGTTTCCAGAGCACGTATGACAATTCCTACTATCCTAACGAAGAGAACAACTTGCAACTATTGGATTATACGATCTGTACACATGACAACGTGCGCCTCGTTCACGACGCGATTTGGCGCGAAATGGGACCAGATGGCGGAAAACCAGCAGGCTTACCAGACGAAAGAATGTTCAGATCTCCTATTTGGTCATCGTGGGCGAAGTACAAAATCTTCATAAATGACACCGTCATAAACGCTTATGCAGATGAGATCTTAAGCAATGGGTTTGGCAACAGCCAACTTGAAATTGACGATGGATTTTCTATGAAGCATGGACAACTGGATTTTGATCCTGAGAAGTTTCCCGACATGAAGGACACCGTACAGAAACTTCATGACAAGGGGTTCCGCGTAACTCTCTGGGTGACCCCGTTTGCTAATACTGACACCGACGCGTATCAGGAAGGTAAAGAGAAAGGTTACTGGGTAACAAAAAGGGGGCAGGATGAGGGCGTGGTCAAGTGGTGGAATGGCTTGGCCGGGATGCTCGATGTCACCAACCCAGAAGCCGTGGAATGGTTCGTTGGCAGACTAGAAAAACTTCAACAGGAAACCGGGATCGATTCCTACAAGTTTGATGCTGGTGAAATCAACTACCTTGTCGAGGACTTTGAAACATACATACCACTGGTGAACCCTTGCGAGTATACAACTC